TCCTTACAAGACAGACAATATAGTCGGAGGTTGGCCTTGGACAAGAGACTACCTGTGTGCCTCAGTTTCCCCATCTAAGAAAGAGATAATAATACTACCATCGGAGGCTGCTGTGGGTTCATTAGCTGAAGCTAGTAACATGGCAATTGCCAAGTATGATTATTCTCATCATTAAAGTGTCCTCCCATTAAGAGGCTAGCAGTTAGAGCTGCCTAGTGCCTCAGCTCGAAAGGAATGTTTAAACCCAGCACAAAGCACATCACATCTGCAGTCAGTTCTTCAGGGTTTTTGTACCGAAGACTGGGAAACAACCACACATTTTGAAGCTGCCTGTGAGAGGTGGAAGCAATGTTGCTGCAAATGACCCTGGGTGACATTATCTCAAAGCAGGCTGGGATGGGAGCAGTTTGGGCATAGGGTAGCGATCAGTCCTGTCCTAAAGCCCGAATAAAGATAACATAGGGTTTTGCTCGAAGGAGATCGGCCACCCAGCCGCTTGACGCCACAAGTTGAAAAGCTATGAATGCCTTGGGTATCTCTAGGGGAATAGACATCTCCAAGCAGCTGTCGGACATTCCATATGGTGTGTGCTACTGGCAGAGGTGACAAGTCAACAGAATTGGACCCTTCCCTCGGCCATGGTGGGGAGGAACAGTGTTGGCTGCTCCACTGCCCTCCTTGGTATGACCGCACTGTCCCTGCATCATAGTGGGAGGAGAGCAGGGCCAAAACTGAGTGAGTGGCATTGAAACTTGAGCGGTGCTGCAACCCCTGTGCACCAGGTTGCCATGTCACTCCCTTAAGTTTGGCCCTGCTGCGCCCTCACCCCTGCCATAACTGAGTGGCCATGGGGACAAACCAGTGGGGTGGGCACAGGGCTAGCTCTTGCGCCAGGCTTCCTGCCCAGCCTTGCCCCACATCCATCAGCCCATGTCTCCTGCCCACAGGACACACTCAACAGCAGCCTCAAGAGCTGCAGTGATTTCCTGGCTGGGAGAGGGCAGAGGGGCATACATACCATGTGAAAAAAAAATGGGGGTGCCCGATTCCCAATCCTCTCTCCATTTACTGCCCTAACCTGCATCTGCACCATCCCAGAGCATCTTTCGGGTTGGGCTCGACACAGGAAGGAATAGATATAAACAGCTGGTCATGGACATTGGTTTCAATCTCTGCTGCCGTTATTTAACGTTGCTTGTAGGAGAGAGGTATCAGTGCTTGCCCTCTGCACTAAGGACACCCCAGGGAAGCTCTGCAGCTGGGGCCAGAGAAGTCCAGAAGTCCTACAGGACCCACAAATTCTCTGTCACAGCTGACAAACCGGTTATTTTCTGCAAATTTAGGCAAAAGAAGATCTTGGTTGATTTTTTGGGACACGGAGGATGGGGTCCAAACTCCCAAGAGATAGGCCTAAAGCAAAAACCTGAATCCAAACATCCTTGGCAACTGAGAGCTTGTAATGTGAGCCTGGGTCTAGAGAGCTAACTTCAGCCAAACCACCTCCTCCCCGGAGCTCCAGGGGCGTGACCCAATCTCAATTACAGGGAGTGGGGCAAGTGGCCAAACATCAGCTAGGAGCAGTGATCTCTGGAGAAGTGACCCTCTTCACACCTTTCCTATTCAACTCACTGGAGAGGTTACAGGAGGTAATTGACTTCTCCATCAGCTCCCTGAAGACGGCCAGGACTTTGGCTGGAACGAGATCGCCTTCGACGTTCACCTCTGTCTCATGCCACTGCTGCAGGCTCTTAGAGAACTGCTCCACCTCCAGCCACTGCTGCAGTTCCTCTGGGTCCCGTACTGGGGAAAGGAGCTTTGCCCCGTGCACTGTGTAATACCGCCAGTGCCGCACCTGGCGCTCCCTGTACCCTGTCAGGCCGCGCAGTGGGACTGTGATGAGGAACTGGCCAGGCGCTAAGACCTAGAAGAATTCAGAGAGATCAGAGAGGAAATAAGGGCAGGTTTACAGCCTGAATGGGATGAGTGGGGGGAGGAGGGGAGACAAACACGATCACAGCAGGTAGAATCACTGGGGCTTCTGAGCAAAAGGAAAAGTCATGCTGGAATGGAAGTCTCACTCCCAGCCTGTCTGGCTAGGACCCTGTCTTTGAATAAGGCTGGAGGCTAGAATACATCAGTCATGTGCTATTTAGGTTACAAAACAACAAAACCCCTGTCATTAGAAGGAAGCTGAAGCAACCATCATGGGCAATGCTGCAACAGTGAAATTTGAACCCTGCTGGCTGATCTGTTACAGTTCCCTCCACCCTCCGTGAATCCATGATCTTCCACAGTTAGATCTTCAATTGCACAAGATGCAGTTACAGACAGAGAGAGAGAGAGAGAGAGAGAGAATGAACACATAGAGATGCTAGGATGGAAGGCAAGATAAGTGTAAGTTATTCTCTTAGTATTATTTCTAGAGTGGGGCCCAGAGAGTGTTAGTAGTAATAATAAGGTCTTTCGCCCAAGTATCCCCAAATTCCTTAGACATTAGGAAAATAAGTATTCTGCAAACTGCTTTGCAGTAGCGAAATATTGTCCCCATTTGACAGATGGGAAAACAGAGGAAAGTTAAGTGATTTCCCCAAGGTCACACAGTGAGTCTGTGGCAGAGCCAGGAAGAGACTCCAGGAGTCTGGTCACGTGCATCACTGTTTCTGTGATTAGGTCACAGATTTTTAAAACATAAGTGAAGTAAACAAGCTGATAAATAAGAAAAAGCCTCTAGTCTTGCTTGCATACCAGTATGGACTTTGTGGCTATGTCTAGACTACATCCCTCTTTCGAAAGAAGTATATAGTTTAGACGTACCCTGTATGAAGAATAGCCATTCTCCGATGAAATACCCTTTGGGAATAGTGAATTAGCAGGGGTATGAACATAATCAAATCTATTAGCAATTCAGAATGTGAACAAAATTTCCTAACACTGTTTTTGAAGTACAATATTTAACCATCTCTGCTCTCCCAGTCCAAACAATAGGGCTAAAACATCCAGACGTTTGCTAGTCTGAACGATAAAGCTTTTTAGCTTTGCTTATCATGAATCATATAACCAACCCTGACATTACTAGGGGAAAACCTACTAGAGGAAGAGAATCTAACCTGACAGCAATTGCTGGTAGGTGGTTCCCCCCAGGTAAACAAAACATTATGCCATTCTCCAGTAATGGCCCAAAGCGCTATAATAACACTATTGGTAGCGCCACTGATTTAGGGGATTACTGCTGAACATGGCAGGATTTTTTAAACAAAGGCTACCAGCAGGCAGCATAGCAATGGCAATGGCAATGGCAGAAACCTTTGTTTAGTCAAATCCAGTTCACTGTTTGGGAGAGGAGGGAAAGACAACCTTCACCACAGGAACTCTCAAAACAAACCAGACCTCTCAAGAAATATTTTTGTTTCTTGGTGTTGAAAAATAAGCGCAGCCAGTCTAGAATCTCCATGCTAAACTCAAGAAAAACAGAACCCAGCAGCTTTCATGGCTTATTTACAGCATGTCTCCTTAATCACATCTGCACAGAAAAAAAGCCTGCAGGACAGAATCAATTCTTCCCAACTTTTCTTTCCATTCCAGGAACTTTTACTTGCTCACCCTGATTATAATGTAATTGTTCTGCTGCATTGTGGAAGCACAAATGCTCCCCTCCTAGTGAATTACAGGTGATCCACAGGCCAAGAAATATTGATCTGGTGATCAGAGCCAAGGACAAAGATCCCAGGTCTTAGTGTGAGCTCAGTTATTGCTTAAGACTTGTTCAATCAGACTGAAATTCACTCCTCCTTTGAATTACTCTTACACCAATTTAAGGCCTCTCTCTCTCCTGAGGAAGGATTCTCCTGTGGTGTGTTTCAATAAGATATTTTAAAATCTCACTTCCTTAAGCTGTCCTGCTTTGGGAGAGAATCTGTGTGAATGCATGGCCTCTAGGCAAGCCAGCTTTGTGGCACATGATCACCCTTGATTGGAAAACGGGGCTTAAAATAACAACAGGGCCTCACTGAATGACACATCATTGAATCTGTGCTGGGTAAAGTCATACATGAATCTCATTTTTCAGGACGCTGGAGAGGGGGCAAGCAAGCTCCCATGTACCAAATAACTGCATGGCCATCCGCAAACTTTCAAAAATCATGGGGTGAGCCATATGCAAACATGGGATTTAACAAAGTGGTAATGATTGGGCCCAGTAGGCATTCTTTATATTCATCTTCTGTTTCTGAGCCCTGGGGTTGCACTCAAGTCATGCTTTCAAATTTTTCTCTGCAACCATGAGTGCTAGAAATGTCCTTTTGGGTCATGAAATCACAAGATTCTCACAGATGAGGTTTTAGCAGATAACACCAAACATCAAAAGACTTCAGAATTAGCAACAACAGAACAGGCGCACTCACATTGCAGCCCATTAGCTAACTAGGACTCACACCCACCTTTGTCTTTCATATAGACATTCTGTGCAGCCTGTATCCATTGCGAGCCCCAGCATGCTACGGGCCACTTATATAAGCAAAGCCACTGGGAGCAAACTAGAGAGGAGCAGTGCATGCGGGACGCATAGACTATGGCCCATTCTTCTGTATTCAAAACAGTTGGTACAATTATGTAAATTAGGTGCTACCCAGCCCTGGGGCTCCTTACAAAATGCAAAGCATTTCTTGGATTTGTACCTCGGGATAGCAAGAAGGAAGCAGTAAGTTAGAAACAAAGGTCCTGTGCTCTCAGCTCTTTTGCAAGGAGGCTAGAGAGGTCAGAGGAGAGACTGATGATGTGGGTGAGGGAATCTAGTGTTTGGAGAAGGCAGGGGGTTGGATGAGGACAATGGAGGCAGGACAACTCTTTGGAGGAGTCAGTGGGAGGTATTTGTACCTGGACAGATGGGTGGAATGGGCGTTTTCCCCGAAGCAGAGTGGACCACTTGGCCAGTAAAGCTGGCTGATCCTGAGAGAAGCGGAAAGGAAAATAAGAAGTATACAGAATATAGAGAGAAAGCACATACCAGACAACTTATGTGGCTTTGGGAAGTTTCCGTCAGTCTTCCTAATAAAGAAAGGGTTGCATAGCTGCTGTCAAAAGAGATGCAATGTAGTAGTTATCAGTGCTGGTGGGAAGTGCTGCAGTGCTCCCCTTCAGGTTAATGTGTGTTACATTCCTGGTGTCTGATTTGTGTCCATTTATCCTTTGGTGCAGAGACTGTCTGGTTTGGCCAATATACATGGCAGAGGGGCATTCC